TGGGGAATTTGTGAATTATAATCAAAGGAGTAGAAGAAAAGTGGTTTGTTGTAATGTTGAGGTTTAGGCGATAATGATTTTACGAATCAGCTATTACTTCTCTCAAAGAAAAATACACTGCATTTTCACTACACTGTACACACCATACCTAAATGTCTCATTCCTCCAGCATCAGTTATAAAATGTCACTCTACTGTTTAACTTATACACAATTACATTTTTACTAGGGAAAAAAAATCATTAATTAAAAAAAAAATGGGGGCAGCCTGGGTGGCTCAGCAGTTTAGTGCCTGCCTTGGCCCAGGGCATGATCCTGGAGACCCGGGATGGAGTCCCATGTTGGGCTTCTTGCTTGGAGCCTGCTTCTCCCTCTGCCTGTGTCTCTGCCTCTCTGCCTCTCTCTCTCTCTCTCTCTCTCTCTCTCTCATAAATAAATAAATAAATAAAATATTTTTTAAAAATAATATTTTTTTTAATGGAGAGAGTGTGGAAGAAAACTAGAGATGGAGACAACCAATCCTAAGGTCTCTTATTTGAGATGTAACTATCACAGTGGGGCAAGTTTGGGGCTTTGTTTTTTGGTTTTGGGTTTTTTTTATTTTTTTAAATTTTATTTAAATTCAATTTGCCCACATAGAGTACAACACCCAGTGCTCATCTCATCACGTGCCCTCCTCAGTGCCCATCACCCAATTACCCCATTCCCCCCACCGACCTCCCCTTCTGCAACCTTTTGTTTGTCTCCCAGAGTTAGGAGTCTCTCATGGTTTCTCTTCTTTTCCACAATTTTTCCCTGAGGGAAAGTTTTGAATGCAATTCTAAAACACTAATATGAGCAACAAGAACCAAAATTCCTTCCTGCATAGAGTTAATAGGATAATGGATGATAATTTTCAAAGGGATGAAAGCTATTTAAAAGAGCTATTTAAAAATAATAAACAAAAAGAGGTTAATAGAATAGAGACTGTTTGGCCATTCTAGCGAGGTGGTTGAGGATACAATCTCCATGCAGGTAAAAATGAAATTAAACCTGAATAATTAGAAACACTCAGCCATGTGAAGAGTAAGAGGAGAGTGGGGCTGGGTGGAGAGAAGAACAAGTGCAAAGGTCCTGTGGGAGAAACAAGCTTGGCATGTGGGAGGAACAACACATACACACACACAAAACCAGTGTGGCTGAAATATGCAGGGAAAAGGGAGAATTGTATGAGATGAAATTGCAGAGGTGTGTCAGGTTCCTCTTGTTCAGTGCTAGAACCAAGAATCTAGAACCATGCTTGGTACTAAAGAAATTTCTGTCAAATGAATAAATGAAGTTAAAATTTGAGACAGCCTGTCTCAAAAGTTCCTTCAGGGCAGGAACCAGAACATTTAAGGCTTTGGAGGTCAGGGTTAAAAGAGTTTGGATTTTATTCTAATCACAAGGAAAAGCCATGGGAATTATATGATCTGATTTGAAAACATCATTCTTGCTTCTGTGTGGAGAGTAGACTTAAGATATGCTGAATATCTTCCACGGCTCTTGTAGATCCACCTTACCTTCTCCATCTGTGTCTCAGGAGGCTGACCTGTATAGACTCCACTTTCTGGCTTCTAGTTGTGTTGAACCAATGGCATTTTCAGCAGGCTGTCAGAAGGAGAGCAGCTGTCTTCAAGTTGAGTACACCATCCATATCCTGCTAGGACCTAACTGAGAAAACTAGAGACTGGTTAGGAGGCTTTGTGGTAGTCTAAGCAAAGATGATGATATCATAATTTATTATTTGTTGCGGAGGTAAAGCTTATTTATTTTGGAGGGATATCTGAAAGTATTTGCTCACAGATTGAGTGTTAGGGAAGAGATGGCAAGAAAAAGGAAACACTCAAGACGTTTCCTACTGAATTCAGACATTTCTGTCCTGAATATGGAGCCATCAAATAAAGGGGGAAGGCTGAGAGGAGAGAAGATTTGGGGCAAGGCCAGAAGGGCAAGATCACAGGTTCCATTTTGGACATATTTAGCTCAAGATGCCCGTTTGCATTTAAGTGGACATACTGAGTAAGCAAAGGGGGAGAAGTCAGAGCTTAAGATTTAAATTTTTGACTCACCAGGACAAGCTTTGTTTTTTTTCTAGACAGTACAACAGTACAATTTGAACAAAATTACATTAAGTTCATGGAAGAATTTTAATAATTCATAGAATGGAAAGAATTGTGGAAAACACAGTCCCCAAGTTTGGCAGATTTTAGGAATCAGTAATGCACATGGTTAGTTGTATAATTATAAAAGAGTCCTGAAGAAAGGCTGAACAGTAAAGGTTATAACTAATTTGATGATAGAATAACTGGATGGTTGGAAGTGAGGATTCAATAAAAAGACAAGAAGGCTAAACGTAAGAAGTCATGCAAAAGACTATAAAACCAAATTGAAACCTTTAGCTGTCCATATAACAAGAAGGCATATTTTAAGTATATGGAACTCTTAGCCACCAATTTAAATTTCCCCTAACCACCAACTTCAATTCCACAAATATTGAGGATTTACATTCGCAGAAGGCACTGTGCTAGACAGTATGGGTACAAAACTCATTGCAGAAGTAAAATCTTTGAGCCCTTATTGAAGTGCTACTAAATGAGAGCTAAAATTAAGTTTTGCTTCTGCAATAAATGAAAAGGCCAGGGAGTCATCACAATGAGCCAGAGAAGCCAAAGGCCTGGCCCACTCACAGCTTGAAGCATTAGCTCTGAGGCTGTAGATTTTTCCTCAAATAAGGCTAAATAGCAAGCTAGACCAGTCCGTGGAAGGAACTTTTTGGATCTGTGATGAGTCACAACTGGCTGAAGACCACCTTCTTCAGTCTACCTACACACTCAGCTTCATGGCATAGCCTAGAAGCTGTGTTCAAATGTAGCCTGTTGGCTCCGAAGTCAAAAGGTCTAGGGAGAACACATTTTCAGGGCCACCACAGTGCCCAGATGAACTATTTGAGAATGTTGGTCTCCAACCTGAAACATGGACATGCTCCTGCCCATCAGGGATAGTCACAGAGTGGAGGCTGAGGAATAAAATTGCAAATTTGCATTGCAAAGCACCACCCCTCCAGTAGAGGAGAGGCTGAGACCAGGTTCTGGCAGGCTGGTGCTTAGGGGGCCTGGGGCTCTCAGCAGGAGGCAGCAGCAGAATACTCTCCCACTGCAAAGGGAGAGGAGCTCCTATAGCCACAGGAAAGAGAAGCTGTGCTTGGGCTCCCTATCCAGCTGGATGGGCCTCCCCAGCTCCAGAGCAGGTGCTCCATAGGAGGTGGGTGAATGTTGCATAGAATGGAAGTCAACTGGTTTCTGCCCCTGAGTGGCCTTAATTGAATCACTTCTTTTCAGCTTCAGCTTCTTTATTTGTAAAGTGGGGCTAAAATCTACCTCCCAGAATTTCTGATTTAATGGATCTGAGACGGGATCCATCTAGGCTTCAGTAATTTTAAAAGCTCCCAAGTGACTTTAAAGTGCATCCAGGGTGGGAACACAAAAAGAAAGTGACAGTTGGATCACAGCAGCATTCTGACTGCACTCAAGGACACTACATCACCATCCTAACCTTGACCATGAGCACAAATCCCTCTTGCAGTCCAAGTAAGCGCACTGAGACAGACACCTCTGAGAGACCACTGCTAGAGCAGGAGCTAGTCCTTCAGCAAAAACTTTCAGGTTTGTATACCCAGCACTAACCTCCCAGTGAGCCCAAGGGCAGCAGGTGGAAAGAAGAGGACCATTCCGGAAGAAAGCAGAGCACTCTCTAGAATGTTGACAGTAAAGTATCCCCAGCACAGAGTAGTCATCAATTGCTGATCTAAAAATGACTAAAGTTTAGATCCGACTAAAAATAACAGAAAACCCAATGACTTAAATAAGAGAGAAAAGTATTTCTCACTTGTATAAGCCCAGATTACCCAGGGTCCATGTGGTAGCTTCACAGTCGGGAAGATAGGCTACTTCCATTTGTTTGCCTATCACACTCCAAGACGGGAGGTTAAATTTTAGACTTCATGTTCACATTCCAGCCAGCAAGGAGGAGAAAGGGACAGGGTGGGGTGGGGTGTCACACACTCATTTTGTGGTCATTTCCCTGAAACAGCACACCACCTTCCATGTATATCCCACTGGCCAGCTCTTAGGCACAAGGCCAGGTGCACCTTCAGAGCAGATTGACAAATATAGTCTGTATGCTGGAAAGTCATGTGCCCAACTAGAAATTGGGGGTTCCTTTGCTACTGCAAGGGAGGGGACTACTGGGACAACAGCCAACAGTCTATGCCTGAAATCGCCTCCCTCGCCCCTCATGCGACTGGATTATAACTATTCAGTTACATGTAAATAGTGTGTTTGACTGGAATCCCACTGAAAACCACTGAAATAAGACTATTTTCCTGCATCCCAAATTCCAGTGACTCTAGTTCCCACTGCCCTGAGAAATCAACAGTCCTACAAGAAAAGTGTTCCAGGGGAGTTCTTCAGGAAACCAGGCCTTACCTCTAATGTGCTTCCTCCAGTAGTGAGGCAGAATGGATGTTTACACTTGGAGAGAAAGTCTTGCCATCTGTGCAGATTAATTCCTGCAGATTTACACTGATGGCAGGCGCTCTCTCTTATTCCTTCTGGAGGCTGAACAGATTACTTTCACTGGGTCGTAAATATGTTTAACACCCTATTATACTAACCTTTTAAACCAGTTGTCTTGGGTGGCTGCAAATATAGTTTAGGAACAACTTTCTATGATTTAAAGGCCCTTGAAATTCCTGGATGCTCTAGTTAAATACTTGAAATTAAGATTGGAGGGTGTAGATCTTGTGACAAACTTCATTTCAAAGAAAGGAAGCAAAATCTTTTGGGTTGATTCTTAGTTTTCTTCTTCTTCTTCTGTTGTTTTTTTTTCCCCCCACTCTTTTCTCACCCAAGGCTAAGATAAGAACTGGCAGACAAACATACCACTGTCCTACGTTTAGATGGACTTTTTATTTCTTCCCCAGTGTTCCAGGACCTGTGGAGGGGGCATCCAGAAGCGTGAGGTTCTTTGCAAACAGCGCATGGCTGATGGCAGCTTCCTGGAGCTTCCTGAGACCTTCTGTTCAGCCTCTAAACTGGCCTCCCAGCAAGCCTGCAAGAAAGATGACTGTCCCAGCGAGTGGCTCCTCTCTGACTGGACAGAGGTACGTATGTATGCTCCTTGGAAGGAGATCATAAAAGAAGCATAAGGAAGAAGAGGAGGTACCCCAAATTTACACAAACAGAAGATGAGAACAGAACAAAATAATCCTCCTAGCATTTCAGAACTGTATTTTTGTAACCATTTATCCCATAATGTGCAACCAGGTTTTAACTAGGCTGCGGGGACCTGAAGTAAGCAGCCAGCCATTACTCAACAATCAGAAGCATGGAATTGTAAACAGGTTCCTCATGGAACAAAACCAAGCTTTGTCTGGCCCAGAATTCCTGTCAGAAGACTGTGTTGTTCTACCTTTAATCCCCACACCTACCTTTCCGACCTCCCGGCACCTCCTCCTCCCAGATGTTTCTAGTCTCTACTCAGGATGGGCAAAGCCTCTCTCATTATTCCCTTCCAAGTTACTGGACAATAAGGAACATGATTTATTAAGAAAAGAAGGCCAGGGAAATCCTGCCTCTTTACTGTCAGTTTCCTGGCTCCAGGACATTAACAACTTCCCAGCAAGAGAACTTGATTTCCCCTGCTGCTTGCATTTGGGGGGATGATTACATCAGCATCCACCATTCCTGACTTACCTCATAAATTAGGATATACCCCCAACTCACTTAACTTTTCTAAATAATTCCTACTCTAACACTAGCCTAAATTAAGTCATTTACACCTAGCTTTGACTTGTTCTCAGCCCCTCTACCACTACTATGAATTGTGTACAACTCCCCCAGCTTCATAGGCATGTGTGTCTTCCATAAAGAAGTCCCCCTAAAAGTATTGCCTCATATGCAGATTTAGCCAAGAACAGAATCGCCAGGCCTGAAGTGAAAATCTTGGTGTAAAAAGCAGATTCAAGACCCTGTCCTTTCTTGCATTTAACCACTTGCACTGGGCTTGCTGATCCCATTGCCTTCTTGGTATCGTTGTGTGCATATGTGTATGTTCTATGTATTCAACAGGATGGGGCTTCTGGGGGTTGAAACACTTCACAAGGACGCTTGCTTCCACAGAGGGAAAAGCTGCCTCTGAAGATTAAGAGGCCACCTCTTTCAACCTGGATTCTTAGAATTCTTGCGCTTTATCTAGAGCTTTATAGATATAAAGTTCACTCAGGTGGTGTTTACTAAGGGCATCACGAGAATGAGGTAACCTACTTCACCACAGGTTTTATATTTGGCAATAAAATTGCCTTCTGTGCCTCACCCCAAATGTCCCAGAAGAGAAATAGGTATGATTATTTTTTTTAATTTTAAGAACAATTGTCTTTCAATAGGATAAAGGATTAAAAGCATGTAAAATAAGTGTGTGTGTGTGTGTGCACATGTGCATGAACATGTAAGTGCCAGTTTTTCCATGGAATGTTGATTTGAGGTGTGGTGTTACGTAAGAAAAATCATAACAGAACTAACCATGTAGGAGAGTGCACCGAAGTAAGTGGCTCTAGATGAAGACTTCCTTCCAGGGGCATACTGTAAAAGGTGTCCTTCTGCGAATTCTGTCGGTGATAGTTGTCCTGAGTGGAATGCTGAGGAAGGGACTTGTGCATATTATCATGGACCTGCCATGTTCCTGGAGTTTGTAGCCTCTGAGCACATGGGACACAGAGAATTCAGAAAAAAATGCTTTCAGGCCTGCAGATTTGAGGCAGGGCCCCTTGTCTTTAGGCACTAAGGAAAGGAGACTGCTCAAGTGAGGTGCTCTGAGTCCCTTTAAGTATCACAGACCTTTGGAACCCTGCCATGTGTGCTCAGGAGTTGGACTCATAGAGGCACTTGGGTGGCTCAGTTGGTTAAGCATCTGACTCTTGATTTCAGCCCAGGTCATGATCTCAGGGTTGTGAGATTGAGCCCCATGTGGAGCTCTGCACCAGATGTGAAGTCTGCTTAAAATTGTCTCTCTCCCTCTCCCTCTGCCTTTCAAGTGTGCACTCTCTCTCTCTCCAAAAAAAAAAAAAAGAGAGAGAGAGAGAGAGAGACTCAAAGGCAAATTTAGGTTCTCATCCCAACTCTGCTACTTACTGGCTCTCTAACCTTGGGCTAGTTATTTAACCTGTCTGAGCCTCACTTTGTGTATCTAAATATTGGAGATAATAATGTCCACTCATATGGTTTTTGAGAGGATTTAGATAAATGATGCATATAAATCTTTGTGCTTAGTAAAAGTTAACCCTATTAATGTTATGGTCCTCTTCCATCCCTGCTCATTGTCAGGAGGAGAGGAAATAAAAGGAAGCACTTGCCTGGACTGGCTAGACCCAGGGTCATGGCCTAGGCTTCTCACGGGCTCTTCCAGTCTTCCTAGGAAGAGAAAGTCACACTTTGGGAAGTAGGACTAGTTAGCCCTTATGCGTGGAATGTTCTTAGGTTCTGGGTTATCTGGGCTGATGTGTAGAAATTCCAAACATTGGGGAGGGGCTGGGAATGGTGGGTAGGAATCACCAGTTCACTGGAATTCAACTCAAGCTGGTGCCATACAAATGTGCTCCCGGGGGTGTTCACAGAGGCTCTTATTTTGGCCCTGTCATCCAACAGCCCTTGCCTTGGCCTTGGTGCTCTGATTGAGATGAAACACGCATTCCACATCCCCTGCCCCCAAGACTCCCCTTGGAGAAAGGAAGACCTGGATGATCTATGGGTGTTTTTCATCCTCAAGTATCTGGGCTCAATCTTATAGTTACTGCACAGAATCCCTCAGAGACAGAATTAAGCCAAAATTTTAGACACTTCAAATAAAATTACTTTCAGATTCTATTCTGAGAATAAGACCCCTTAAAAGGTTTTACTTCTTTTCTTTAAAAGAATTCCTTGCATCTCTGGAAAGAGATGGCTATCATATATTTTTAAATCATATTTTTATGAAAGTAATTTCCCCAAAAAAATATAAAAGAAATTAAGGTCAGAGTAGTCAATTTTAGAGCTAGAAGGAACATAGAAGATTCTATAGCCTGGTGGTTCTTTTAAAAATTAAAGCCACAGAGGCCTCTTTTCAACTGAAATATTACTACAAAGCCAAGAATCTAAAACAGAAAAAAATCAGAGCTGTTTTGGTTGAAGTATGGTCAAGGGCCCCAGATCTCCATAGGTTGGATCTCCAGATCACCTGAAAGCCTCTGAATCACTTCCTCAACACAGAAGAGGGTTTGAAAATCCCTCCCCGTGCTTAGTTTTCTTTTAGAGATCTGGAAACTGAGCCTCAATAAAGAACTAGACTTGACCAAAATCATAAACCAATCTCCAGAGATATAGTCTATTTTCCTGCTTGGCAGGACTAAACTGACCATGCTTTTAAATTTTCCATGCTCTTTGCCTCCATCACACCTGATCCCAGGATTTGGGGCTGTCATTTACAATAAAATAAGAGATGGGTGGAATCTGGAATCCACCATCATCAGGAAACAAAAGCAATGGGCTTCCTACCTCCATTTTTTTGCATCTAAAATGTCTTTCAGGGTGGCGTATATCACAGCACATTGCATGGAGTAGTTCATTTCAGCGGGTTAACATATAACACTTGAAAATATAAGATAATATTTTGGGGCTTAGTGTCATTTTTCAAGTTAACGTGGCACACTGCCATGACCCTAGTTCAGGTCTTTATCATCTCCAGCCTGGACTACTGTGGCAGCTCCTTAACTGACATCCCTGCCTGCCATACATCTCTTACTCCCTTCCCTCCCGGACACTGTTGCCAGATTAACCTTCTCAAAACACCTCTTTCATCATTTCACTCCTCCCTCCAATGGCTCCTCACTGCCTTGTGGACCAACTCCAAACCTTCTGTCTGAAAATTAAAAATCTCCAACGTCTGGCCCCAAACTACCTCTTGAGCTCCTGACACTCTCGACTTGTTGCCTCTGTTCAGTCAGACTGGTTTAGCTCTTCCTCGAAGCCTGCCTTGGATTCTTGCACTGAACTCTTCAACTGTCGCTCTGGATATTCCCCTGCCTCCCGTGCTTATCCCTGGTTTCTACATGCATTTGTACTGTACTCACCTTCAGAACCTCAGCTGGGAAATCACTTGTGCACCATCAACATTCAACCATTGTTAGCATTAATTTTGTAATACTTCACTTCTCTTGTAGTTTTATATTTCTACTAAATTCTTATATTACTATCTAATTCTTTGAACAGCTTTATTTTTTTAAGATTTTATTTTAAAAAAAAGATTTTATTTGTTTATTTGAGAGAGAGCAAGAGTGGTTGGGTATATGAGAGAAAGAGAGAGCACGTGAGAGAGAGAGAGCATGAGGAGGAGCAGAGGGGCAGAGGGAGAGGAAGAAGCACACTCTCCGCTAAGCAGGGAGCCCGATGTGGGACTTGATCTCAGGACTCTGGGATCATGACGTGAGCCAAAGGCAGACACAACCAACTGAGCCACCCAGGCACCCTGAACAGCTTTATTGAGGTATAATGTACATACTATAAAATTCAACTTCGCATTGTTTTCAAGGTTTATCTGTTTACTACATATCCAAAAGAACAACAGTCCTTTTATGGTAGAATAATATTCCACTATATAAATATACCGTATTTTTGTTTATCCATTTACCAGTTGGTGGACATTTGAGTTGTTTCCACATTTTTCTCTGTTGAACATTCTCATTCAAGTCTTTGTGTGAATGGATGTTTTCACTTCTTTTGGGTAGATACCTACAAGTGAAATTGCTGGGTCATACTGTAAATTTATGGTCATCTTTGTAAGAAACTATCAAGCTGTTGTCAAGAAGGCTGCACTATTTTACATTTCCACCAACAAGATAAGAAGGTTCTAATTTTACACATCTACATTTACAATAACATTTGTTACTGTCTGTTTTTATTATGGCCATTCCAGGGGATATGAAGTGGTATCTCATTGTGGTTTTGATTTCTATCTCCCTAATACGATATTTCATTTTAAAAACACATTTAGATTCCCCCACACACACTCATTTGATGACAGCCCCTTGAGGTACAAACCACCTTGCACTTTTTTTCCCAGAGTTTCTAGCACCCCAGCTCAGACAAAGTAGATGTATGACAGTTATCTGATGCTTAACATTAAAATTATATTTGTGAAGGAAGGAAGAACATAATTAGCATTGAGTGTCATTTCTGTGTGTGAAATTCAAACTATATTATCTCATTTAATTCCCAACCTTGCTGGGGTGCCGGGGTGGCTGAGTCAGTTAAGTGTCTGCCTTTGGCTCAGGTCATGGTCCCAAGATCCTGGGATTGAGCCCCATGTTGGGCTCCTGGCTCAGCAGGGAGCCTGCTTCTCCAGCTCCCCCTGGCTCATGCTTGCTCGTGCTCTCTCTCTCTCACTCACTCACTCAAATAAATAAATAAAATCTTTAAAAAACAAAATCCCTACCTTGCAAAATAAGTGTACAAAGTAGAAACAGACTCTGAGTTGCCAACTGGTAAAATACTAAGCTGGGATTTGAACACAGGGCTCTATGACTCTGTAACTCTAAAGGCCAGGCCACATAAGTAAAAACAGGTAGAGCGTCTACAGGAAACTTGAGAGCAGAGAAATCTTGGAAGGTGTTTACAATATGGCCTTGTCTTCCCAAAGTGCTACATACTTGATATTTCTCTCTTTTAGTGACCGTTGCTTTTTTAAGCAACTTTTCTCGCATTTTGGTGAGTTTGAGAGTCCATACAAAAACCCATTAGCCTCTAGTTCCTGCACTTACGTACATGTGGTCCCTCTTTCCTCACCAGTGTTCCACAAGCTGCGGAGAAGGCACCCAGACTCGGAGTGCCATTTGCCGGCAGGTGCTAAAAACCGGGTCTCGGCCATTGTCAATTCCTCCCTGTGCCCTCCCCTGCCGTTCTCTTCATCCATCAGGCCCTGCATGCTGGCAACCTGTGCACGTGAGTATGTCTGAGTTCTGGGGACAGGGGGATCGAACCCACCACCCAGGAGCAGCCGTGGCCACACGGTAGCTTTCCTTAAACCCAAGACCAGAGGGAGGTTGTCAGGCAGTAGAGCTCGAGGACAGCAGCAGGCTGGTGAGCTCAGCTGGAGATGGAAAAGAAATCTTAATTACACGTGGCCCAGCAGAATTCTCTTCTCCGCTGGAAAAACAGTTTGCAGGGGGTAGTGCAAAGTTCACTGGCTGGCACAGAGAGATCTGGAAGCTGGAGTCAGCATATAACCGATGAAGCCTAATGCTGTCCGCTCTGGGGTTTTAAAATGCCCTAAACAGATTTGTTATGTTTAATATTAATCCCTGGAGTTGTAACACCTCTGGGCTCTCCTCCCCAAGTACCCTGCCCCCCCCCCCGCCGTGCTCTGCAGAACACGAAGGGATGTGGAAACGAGAGCAGTCTCCTTCCCTTTGTCCCCTGCCTGTTTTTATGATGCTTGTTTTCGTTCTTTTTAAATCCTTCTAATGAGAGGAACTGCCTCTCCACCCCCCCCCCGCGTCCCCCTCCATCTAGAACCTGCCTCCATCTAGAACCTGCATCTCGGCTTCTAGGGGTAGAAAGCCCCAGCAGGGTGATAGCAGGTTGCCCCCGCTGCACCCCATCAGTTGGAGTTTAGCCTGGGCGGCAGCCTGGTGGCCGCTTCCTCCCCGCAAAGCCTAAGGCTTGCGCCTCGACTGCAGCCCTTTGTCTCCCGCTCCCGCTCCCGCTCCCGCTCCACGTCCCTCCTCTCCCTCTCTTCTCCGCCCGCGCTCACGCTCGTTTTCCTCCGCCCTCCCTCCGCGCCCGGCCGGCCGTGGGCTTCCCTCCCACTGCCTCGGGGCAGGGCCCGGGCGGCCGTCCAGCAAGCACAGCCCCCACATCGCGGCCGCCAGGAAGATCTACATCCAGACCCGCCGGCAGAGGAAGCTGCACTTCGCGGTGGGGGGGTTCGCCTACCTGCTCCCCAAGACGGCGGTGGTGCTGCGCTGCCCCACGCGGCGCTTCCGCAAGCCCCTCATCACCTGGGAGAAGGACGGGCAGCACCTCGTCAGCTCGGCGCACGTCACCGTGGCCCCGTTCGGCTACCTGAAGATCCACCGCCTCAAGCCCTCGGACGCGGGCGTCTACACCTGCTCGGCCGGGCCCGCGCGGGAGCAGTTCGTCCTCAAGCTCATCGGCGGCAACCGGAAGCTGGTGGCCCGGCCCCTGAGCCCGAGGAGCGAGGAGGAGGCCCTGGCGGGGAGGAAGGCCGGCCCCAAGGAGGCCCTGCAGACCCACAAACACCAGAACGGCATCTTCCCCAACGGCAGCAAGGCCGAGAAGCGCGGCCCCGCCTCGGACGCGGGGAGCCGCTACGATGACCTGGTGTCGCGGCTGCTGGAGCAGGGCGGCTGGCCCGGGGAGCGCCTCGCCTCGTGGGAGGTGCAGGACTCCACCGAGAGGAACGCGTCCTCCGAGGAGGACCAGAACGCCGAGCAGGCCCCCCGGCCGCCGCCCTTCACCATGGTGGCCGAGCAGAGGCGCCTGGACGACATCCTCCGGAACCTGTCCCAGCAGCCCGAGGAGCTCCGGGACGTCTCCCGCAAGCACCTGGTGGCCCAGCTGGCCCGGGACATCTTCCGCAGCCACCTGGAGCACCGGGACGCGCTGCTCGAGCCCTCGGAGCGGAGGCTCCCCCCGGTGGCCGTCCCCGCTCGCAAGCACGTGTCGGGCTTCAGCAGCTCGCTGCGGACCTCGGCCCCCGCGGGGGAGGCCGTGGGGGGCCCTCGCCGGCCGCCCCGCAAGCCCACCATCCTGCGGAAGATCTCGGCCGCGCAGCAGCTGTCGGCCTCCGAGGTGGTCACCCACCTCGGGCAGACGGTGGCCCTGGCCAGCGGGACGCTCAGCGTGCTTTTGCACTGCGAGGCCATAGGCAACCCGAGGCCTACCATCAGCTGGGCCAGGAACGGAGAAGAGGTTCAGTTCGGTGACAGGTGAGCCTGGCAGCCACCGCGGCTGGGGAGGGGGAGGGGGAGGGGCGGGCAAGGGGCCACAGGTCGCCGCCCGGGGGTGCTCGCTCGGCTCCTCCTTCCAGGTGGTTCCAAGGGTAGGGCTTAGAACCCCGGGCCTCGGGCCTGGCAGCCTGAGTTTCAAGTCACCAACAGGCCTGCTGGAGCCAAGACTAAGTATTTAATTTCTCTAAACTGTATGCTGTCCTCTTCGTAAAGTAATAGTAACAGTGCCTATCCACCCCAGTCCCCGTAGGGTCCCAAAGATTAATGAGATATTCTCCAGATAGCTTTGAACTTTTGGCAGAAAGCTATCATTCAAGGCCAAGGCATTATTACATTACCACTCTGTGAGATGGCCCACTGAAAAGCTTATCCATCAGAATACTGTCTCCGTGTGTGGTCCCTCAGGGCTGGAGAGAGAGTGCAGCCAGCACCTGCTGCTCCTGCTCCCTGTGGGTGAGCCCATTCTCTGTCTGGGCCCGACAAAGCTGTTTGTTCCAGAAAGCTTTTATTCCCAGTCAGACCTGTGATTAATTATCCTAATATCTCATGGTGTCTCTGTTTTGATGTGTCATTACGAGGATGACAGCATGTATTACTTACTGATTTCCTTGGGCCATGGCCATTTATAATGTAAAATCAATAGTAGTGGTAGAAGTTATAACAATAATATTTTTGAACACTGTGTGCCAAGAACCGTGCCATAATTCCTGCATATACTCTCTTTTAATCTTTATAGTGGCCCTGACAACAATAATAGCTAGCATTAAGTGAGTAGCAGCAATCTGCCAGGCAAATGGGGTCTTTGTGTGTTTATTTCATTAAATTCTAACTAAGCCCTAAGAAGTGGGTACGGTTTGTTTTTTCTTTTTTTAAGATTTTATTTTTATTTATTCATGAGAGACACACAGAGGCAGCGACATAGGCAGAGGGAGAAGCAGCCTCCCCTCCAGGAGCCTGCGGGACTTGATCCCAGGACCCCTGGATCATGACCTGAGCCCAAGGCAGACGCTCAACCACTGAGCCACCCAGGTGCCCCGTGGGTATAGTTTTTATCCACACTTTACAGAAGAGGAAACAAAGCCTAGGAACTGGCTAAAGATCTTAATAGTAGGTGGCAGAGCCAAGATAACGTGACACAAAAAAAGATAGGCAGTCAATGGGAAGAATCATATACTCTGGATGAGAGAGGGGTCTTTAAGGTCCTCCAACATAGAGTCCTCGTTTTAAACTTTTATCTTCTCTGAATTCATGTAGAATGCTATTTTCATTAAGTATAATCCCAAATACTATTACTTGGCAATCCTTGTACCTAGCTTGCTAGCTTTGGGTAAAGGAGAGAAAGGAGCGAGGATTTATTGTGCCAGGCACTTTGCCAGGTATATTTATACGTAACTGCATTTCTTATTCTAACAGTCTGCAAGATTGACATTATCCTCCAGTTTCACATAGAAAATCAAGGGTTAGCAGCTCACCCAAGAAGATCACACTTTAGTAAGACCCAGACCAACGATTCCATATCAAGTTTGTTTGAGTCCAAAGAGTACACAGTTTGGTCTCCTCTTCTGAGACTGGGGAACAAATGTGACTTTGTCTTGTACTTATAGGCCAAATACCTTTAATAACAACAATAGTAAGTATTTTTCCGGTGTACTCTTACTATGTGCCAGACACGGTAATCAGTGCTTTAAAGGCGGCATCTTATTTAATCTCCAAAAATAACCTTACAGTTTAAACACTATTATTGTTACCACAACAATATTTCTCAACAATGAGAAAGCTGAGACACAGATGTGGGAACCCACATAGAAGTGCCGGAGACAGGGTTTGAATGCAGGATTTATTGCACCAGGCATTTTAAATGCACACCTCAAGAACCTCTCCTCTTGTGTGCTGCTTGGTTCTCCCCAGCCCACGCTTTCATTGGTCAGCTAATGGCTAGGGTTCCTGCAGAGCTTGGGGTCAAGCTGAAGTTGGAGTAAATCCCCTTGAGATCACGGAGTCGATGAGAGGTAGTCCCGGTGTCAGATCCCCCAGGATGACGGGTGCAGGTGAAGAGTCGTGCCCTGGTGCTGGGGTGGATGGTACACTCGAAGCCTATTAGTGCACCGTCCTACCTACTGTGACCAAATCATGTCATCTTCTCCACCAGCCAGTCAGTTTCTCAAGTGTAGGTACCATTTTATTCCTAGACCTCTTGTCCAGGATTGCGCTACTGGGATGGAAGGGAATAGCATTTGGCTATACACAGGAAAAGATGGGAATTAATGTTTCTTGACTCACCACAGACCCAGTGCTCTGTGCTAGCAACTTTTTCATAGCCATCGCCCTTGGTTAATGGCCACCACAGGGTACGACATAGGAGCTGCTATCCTTATTTCAGAGATGAGAAAACTGTGGCCCAAAGTAGTGTGGGAGCTTGATGATGTTAGCTCGCAAAAGGCAGAATCAAGAGGGCAGATTCGAACCCAGGTCTGCCCAACTCTATGCTGTTTTGAGTGAATGAGTAAGTTCACGATTCCATGCATCTATACTTCACTAGAGATGCCGAGTTGCTTCAAAACCCTTGCTATTGTTTACCAGCTATTTCCAAGGTCCCTTTCTTCCTCCTAAAAGCTATAGACAAGGCAAGCCATTGGGAAAGAGAAAAGGGGTCCCCAGGGCTCTGCTGTGCCTGGAACTTCAAGGGAGAACATGGAGCCCCTGGCTGACTCAGAGGGGAATTTTCTTGAGTGCTAGAGATATATTGTATGAAGTTCAAGGGTCACAGCCCATCTGGGTCACCTGGTGACTAAAGATAGGATGCAGGAGTCAGATCTTGCCAAGGCCCTTCACTTGGTATGACCTTATTAGTCCCTTCATTTCAAAAGCAGGGGAGTGGCAGGGAGGTTGTACCAGTTCATCTCTGAGGTCCCTTCTACCTCTTTCACTCACTTACAAAAAGCCACAGAAGACAAAAACCCTTATGCTGGTGGGGAGTGGGGAAAGCCTTGAGCACAGGGACTTCAATCTCTGACACATGAGCTGTTTCTGAGCCCCCTCCACAAAATGGGGGTTCACCACTTGCAGGAGTTCGGGACGTATTCACGTAAAGCTGAACAGATGTACTTTGCTGCTGGATTTTACTTCTATTTTTTTAATATAGTGCTTGATATTTTTTCTCATTTTTATTATAAAAACAGTAAAAGGACTATAAAGCAATTCAAATAATACCTAAATCTATAAAGTACAAATGCAAGTCTCCCTCATCCTCCCACATCGATTCCCCAGAGTCTGCCTCTCTTAATAATTTGGTATACATCCTTTTGGAATTTTTATATATTTTATTCCATTATATATAAAACACATATACACATATATAACTTGGTTTTTTTTAATGGAATATTACTCATGTTTAGAAATTTCATGTGGTTTCTACTCAACAACATGTCTAGAAGACATTTCATTATAGTATGTAGAGATCTGCGTCACCATTTTTAATGGCTGATTACTGTTCCTGAATGCATTTAACTATCCCCCAATTGAATTTATTTTGGTTTTTCCATTTTTTTAAACTCCTTTAAGCACTCCAATGTGTGTTGTGACTGTCCAAGTGAATAATGCAGTATGCGTTATTTTCCAAGTAGTTATTTGATCAATGAACAATTTTTTGCCCTAGTCATCTCAAGGATACCAAGAGTTCTTGAAATACCACTTAGGAAACATTACTTTCACCTTTTAATTCTCACCTCCTTGGGTACTCTGTGTCTAGCTCTAATGTCTTTAAGATGAAGAGGGTTCCATGGAATCTTACTAGAAAAAGACACATGGGAGCCAGGTACTAAAGATACCGAAGGTGCTAAACTAGGGCCAGTCCTGGCTCTTCAGTCACAAGGACATTGGTGGCAGCATGGGTTAGGAGTAGCATTAAGAGGAAGAGCACATGAGGCACATGGACAAACAGTTTTACAGTTTTTGCCACTCCCAAGATTTTTCTAGATCTACCCTTGACAGAGCTTTCCAATGCAAGTTAATGGCACCCGGTAAAGAAAAATATGAGATTTGGGATACTGATCTCTGATGTCATAATTTCTCCATTTAACTTAGCCGGCCAAAAAGAAATATGACTGGAGCTTTATTTTCTATACAGTTTTCCAAGTCCTGTTGAAAAGAAGAGAGTGAATATATCTGCACAGAGTATGCAGGAGCACAGAGCTGCCATTGGGACTCCTTTGCTATGGGCCATTGGTGACCTCTCTGTGTTGGGTTTCATTGCTTGTCATCATTCCTGTGTCCGGTAGCAATTCAGAAATGCTCATTTATTTTCACACAGAGATGTGCTGAAATGCCCAGTGCTGTAGTTCAGTGAGTCTGTTTTTGCTTAGTACCAAATCCATCTTTCTGAAAGAATCTGCAAGATTCAGCTGGCTATTGGTTTGTAGGACTTTGCCATGTGTTAAAGTATACTCTTAGTAACCTGAGCCAGCCAGATAGGTCAAGAGATGAAGAAAGTAACTAAGGAGAAGTCTACTACTTCTTTGGCTTTTCAGTATGCCAAAGTTTTATCTGAAAGAAATTGCTTCTATGAAAAAAATCACTATCAAGTCAGATACCAGTGTATCTCATATATATAATTTACTAGTTGAAATGAATTCACATGCCAGCTTATCAAGCAATAGTTTATGGGATGTTATTGAATATACTATGATAGACTGGTTCATCATAATCCCCTGCTTCTCCTTTATTTCATATAACATTCCCATGGATCCTCAGAGCCGGACCCTCAGTTAGATACTGGGGATAGAGGAAAAAAAGACTCACTCCCTATCAGTGAAACTCAAAGTCTCATGTGGAAGCAATAGAAGTAAATGCAGTGTTCAAGTGCTAAAAAAAAAAATCAGTATGGATATTTATTCACTCCATAAGAATTTATTAACCTATCTATTATATGCCATACACACACACCTAGTCACTAAGAAGGACTATTGTGAATGAAAAAGTAG